CCCATGGTGAGCCGGCCCCGCGCCGCCCCGCGCCATGTCCCGCCGCCCGCCGCGATGTTCGAGCGCGGCCGCCGCGCGCGCAGCCTCTGGGGCGGCGTGAGGCTGGAGGTGGGCGGCGAGCGCGGCCCCGTGGTGCTCAGCAGCTTCACGCAGCTCGACCCCGACCTGCCGCCGCTGGAGGTGAGCGCGGGGGGCGGCTCCTTCACTCGCCCCATGGCGACCCGGCCCTGCGGGCAGGGCTCGGCGCGGAGACGCTCTGCGGCCGGGATGGGTTGCCGAAATCGGGGCTGTTTCCTGGCCTGTTGGAGGCTCCCGCCTGTGCTGCGGGTTGGGCATGAGGTGGAGGCTGCTGGTGAGGGCCAGAGGCTGGTCCCAAGGAGCCGCCCGCGGGGCGCTGGGGGGGTTGTGGTGCCGAGGGGGCCGTGCCGGAGGGTGCGGGATGTCCGGGGTGCTCTGGGCTCAGCGCTGGGTGCCTCAAACCCCGAGCAGCCCCTGTGGTCTCGCTCCAAGCACCCGGTCTATCCCGAGTGAGGAATGGGGCACAGGCACCCGGGATACTCTGACTCAGAGCCGTGGGGTTTTTCCTGGCAACACTCCGAGCGCCAGGAATGTCCTCGGTGCTGGGAGACGTGCAAGGAAGCGGCGGCGCCGGGAGCTGCTGCCGCTTTCGGGGCGGCGCAGGGGTTAATGCCGGGCAGCGGCTCAGGTTTTGTTGGCGTTTGGGGCCAGCTGCAGATGTGCCGCTCCGCTCCGGCCACCTCCCGCTGCGGTGCGGGGGAATGGCCGCTAAATCCCTCTGAGTTGCTGCACACACATCCGGGCAGCGGAGCCAGCGTTTTCATGGGCGATTTAATCTTCCTCGCGGTGCAAAGCGCTCTGCCCCATACCCTGCACTGGAGAGTCTTGGCCAGCCTCGGACGGGAAGGATTCTGCGGAGCCGCGGCCGCGTGGGCTCCCCCGCGGCCCTGCCGGGATCAGGGAAGCAGCAGCGCGGCCGTCGCCACTGTGGCGGGGTGGGCGCGCGGATGCTGTTGGGAGCTCATCATCTGGATCTCGTTATGCCGGGCAGGAAGCGGGTCCGGCCTCGGCGGGCGCGCGCTCCGGGAGGCTGCCGGGCCGCGCGGCGCGGGCAGCGGGAGGAGGGGGACGCGGCCCCTTGCGCTCCCAGGCCTCAGGGAAGGGCCCCTGGGCTCTGCAGGGAGGAGGTCGGGGCGTCTCGAGAGGCGGGGGCTGCAGAAGGGCCGGAGCTGGAGAGGGCAGCCCGGGAGCCCCGGCGGGCTCCGAGCAGCCCCGCTCATCCGAGGGGCGCACGAGTGAGTCCGCAAAACAGAGCGCGTCGACGGCCTCCTGGAGCCCCGTGCTGCTCCCAAGCTGCCGGCACCTCGCGAGCGGAGCGAGGGCGCTCTGAAAGGAAGGCCTTGTTGTGGCGGCCGCCCTGGCACCGGCCTCGCGGGGCTGCAGTCCCGGGGGGAAGCCGCCCTGCAAGGTTTCCCGAGCAGGAATGTTGTCCGGATGAGAAAGCCCCATTGCCAGTCGGTGTTTTCCCAACCTCCATTCCCAATCTTGCTCCAAGCACCCCAGGGTGCTAAACCCGCATCCCTGGGGGAGAGCCCTGGACTGTAGCAGCCTCGGCCTCACTGGGATTCGGAGCAGTGGCTCCACCAGCTCCCACTTCGGCTGGGAGCACCGGCCCAGAGGCAGCTGCACCTCCTGCCTGGAGCTCATCCCATGGGACGGAGCTGTTTCTGGTGGGTCCGTGCCAGCCTGTGTCCCACAAGGACCAGGGAATCCCTGGAAAGCCGCCCCTCCGGTGACAGGGAATATGTGTGCCTCATCCTTGGTGTCCCAGCGGGGGCCTGCGGGCGCCTGCAGAGGGGCGGTCACCGCATCAGCGCTCGGAGCCGCCTATCCCGGCGCTTGGGAGAGCCCTTCCCGATTGCGCCGTGATTTTCACAGCGCTGAAGAGGCTGTTTGAACTAACACGATTGTCTGAAGCGATGGCCTGGGCCGCTGTGCAGACCTCCCGCCCTGACCTTTCTGCTGCAATCCAACCCAAATCAGTGACAAGTGGCAGTTGTTCCGGCCCGGATCCACGGAACAAGTTTGGGGTTTCGTGCTGGCCTGTAAACACGGCTGCGGGTGACACGGGCAGGAACTGTCACGCGACCCTGGGCCCCGTGCGCTGGGTGTCCCTGTGGAGCAGGGGCTGGGCTAGATGATCTCCAGGGGTCCCTTCCAACCTCGACCATTCCGGGATTCAGCGACTTGCGGAGCTCCGGGACGAGCGCTCGGCGCTGACGCTGAGCGGAGCAGCCCCTATTGTTGCCATTCTGTCCGGATTTGTTTTCTGAACAATTAAGAGACTCTCAGTCACTAAACACATCCTTGAAAGCTTCAATTACTCAGCCCAGCTGCTTTGGAGGTCAGTGCTTGTTCTTCATGGCTGGGAATGAGGCGAAGGAGGGACAAAGATACCTCTTAAAAGCCGTTTCCTCGGTGCTCCCTACGGCGCGCACGGAGGAAGAGCCTTTTCTCTCAGCGTGAGCCACCCCTCACGCCCCGCAGGACGAGCATCATCTGTTGGTGTTTCTGGGGTGGGGATCTGCGTCCTGGCTCCCTTCCAGGAGCCCGGAGCCGGCCGGGAGGCCGCAGCAGGCCCGGATGCCGGTGGCCGCTGCGGAGCGGGAACGGCAGCGGGGGGCAGGGATGTTTTATTATTATTTGCTCTCGTTGCAGGGAAGCCGGAGGGAGGTTCCTGAGTGCGTTTGTACCAGGCTCGCCTTACGCAGCGGCTGCTCCGCCGCCTTTCTCTGGGGGTGGGAAACCCGCCGGGGTCTCGCACGGGGCTTAGAGGATTTAGCACCAGGCTGGCGGCCCTGGAAAGTGAAACCTTCTGTTTATCGTGTGAAGAGGGAACCCACACCCGGGCTTTCCCCTTGGGAATGCCACAGCGGGGGGAAGGAGGTCCCATGTAGACATATGGTGCTGCGGGCGGGTTGTGTCCCGCTGTTGTGGTGCCGGGGAGCGGGTCGGCTGTACCCTGGAGCTGGAGGAGCCCATTCCCAGAGCCACTGCCACGGGTTGGGATGCAGAGAGGGCCCTGCCACCAGCGCCTTCTCCGCGGCCTTTCCGGCTCTCGGTGCCGGTCGCTGCGTCCCCCCGGGGCCGGGAGCTTATTTAGGTCACCGGGAGCACATGCCAAGCCCGGGCATCCCCTCCTTGCGCTTCCTCTCGCGCCGCTGCCTCCCGAGCGGCCCTTTATCGAGCGCCCGCCTCCCTCCTGTTTCAATACATGTCTGCAGGGCTGTTTCGCTTCTCAAATATTTCTCCCATCTCCCACGGACCCAGCAAGAGGGGGGGAAAAAATGTCGTTGCTAAGGAACGGGATTTAGCTCCAATGCCGGCCGCGCCGAGCGGGGCCCTTTGCCAGCGATTCCGGCCGGGAGGGCTGCGGGGGGCGGAATTCCAGCGCCCGCCTTGCGCATCCCGGGCCTCGCTGCCACCTGCAAGGCCCGGGAATCGGGATTTGAGGCGCAAAGGGAGGGGGGGGAGCCACGGGCGCTGAGGCTCCCCTATGGATTAAACTTGTTTCTCTGCTGCTGTTGGGATGTGCCGGCTGGGAGCCCGGGAGGGCGGCCTGTGCGGAGGGCACCCGCGGGAGCCGCTCTGTGCAGCCGGAGTGTCGCTGCCTGGGGGGTCAGGCCAGCGCAGCCCCTTCATGTCACACACGGGGACGTTTCGCTGCTCTGTCCGTGCCCGCAGGTGTGTGGGCACAGGCTGGCAGGGACACTTTGCTGCCCGGGTGGCTCTTCGCGCTCCCATGTTGGGGACACGAGCAGAGCTGCCAGACGCCCGGCTGCCTTCCCGAGGTGACGGGAGACGAGCAGCAGTTTTGACTTGCAAGCAGATTGCGCAGGGAAGGCAGCAGTGGTGCCGCGCTCGGTGATGCGGAGCAGCTCCCTGTGCCGTGGGCGCAGCCGCCGCCGGCTCCCTGCTCTGCTGCCGCCCCGGGGCGATGCCAACGCGCAGGGTCTGGCCCAGCCTTGGGGACCTCTGGCTCTGAGCATTGAGTCAAACTGTTGGGTTTGCGTTTGATCTTTTTTAAGGATCTGTTTTGGAGTGGGTGTTTGGGTCAAGCTGTGTTTGCGCTGGAGAGATCCCTCCTGCGAGGGCGGCTGAGGGACCGCATTGCTGCTCGTTCCGAGCGCCCGTCCTGCTGTTCTGGACATGGGGCTCCCTGGAGATCCTCGCGTGGCTGATGCTGGCACCGACTGCGCCACTCGCGTCCCCGGGATGCCCTGCGGCTCCTCTGCAGAGCCAGCAGCATCCAGAGCTCCCGGGCAGCCAGTTCACCCCAGCTCGGTGCCGCTGCTGTTTCCTCCCCAAAGGTGCCGACTAAGCCTCGGCTCTCCTGTTGCTTCAGCTGTGGGAATTGGGGCAGTCCCCAGGTGGTGCCTGATGAGCCCTGTCTCTTTACCTGCTCACGTGGCACCTCGCACCTTGTTGGCACCTATCTAAATAATGCCAGGAAGAGGCAATTTCCCTGATTGCAGGGGAGATTTCCCTAATTGCAAGATAGGAGCACTTGCTGCTCTGGCTCTACAGAGCCTGGAGGCACGCAGGGAATGGGCCGGACCAGGAACCATCCGCGAGGAACCTCTTGCCTGCGGGCGCCCCCAAAGCCCTTCCTGGCACGGAAGCCAAGGTGACGGCCGGGAAATCCACAGCTGGGAGCGTGGGGCGGGAGAGGAGGGCGGGAGAGGCAACAAATGGAGGCGCCCGCGTCACGGGGGCCTGGCCGGGAGAGGGCCCAGGGCAGACAAAGGCCGCGTTGATCCGGCCCCGCGCTCCGCTCGCCCGCCGCCCTTCCCGGGGTCCGAGTGTGGCAGGGGGGTTTGCTCAGGGCCGGGGCTCTCTGAGGATGCGATGGCTCCATCAGGAGAGAGGTGAACTCAGCAACTCGCAGGTGCGAGGCACAGGCCCTGCCCTGGCGCAGCAGTGAGCAGATCTCCGGCTCGTTTGCGCAGAGCGGCACAAACGCGCTGGGCGAAGCAAAGCAGACATTTCACCAGCAAACATCCAGACTGGGCTGTGGGGTCGCTCAGCTCCAAGCAGTGACCCGTGCGCAGCCCTTTCCCAACACGTGGTCGGGTTCTCACTGTGACGATGCGGGCTGCAGG